ATTACTTGAGGTCTGGAGTTCAAGACCAGCCTGGCTAACATGGCAAAATCCTGTCCCTACTAAAAACACAAATTAGCTGGGCATGGTGACAGTGCCTGTAGTCTCAGCTACGCCTGAGGCTGAGGCAAGAGAATTGCTTGAACCCGGGAGGCCGAGGTTGCAGTGAGCTGAGATTGTGCCACCGCACTCTAGCCTGGGTGACAGAGTGAGACTCTGTTTCTAAATAAATAAATATCAAGTAAACCAATGAGAAAAAAAAGCTGTTCTCAGCAATATAAAATAATGTAATGGATATCTGTTACACTCATGGATACGAGGCTGCCCTTCTAACTGGCTTTGATTGTTCATGTCCAGAAAATCCTGGTGCATGCAATTAAGTAGCTGCAAATGGCAGCCGGTCTTTGAAACTGCTCACCTTACATCCCTGGAATACTCTTCAGTGAACCAGAAGCTCATGTTCAAATTGGGTAGGGAATGCATTCAAGAGTGTCTGTTATTTTTACTACAGTTTTCAAAATAATTTTTAAAATATATTTTTAAAGTGAAGCTAGAATCAGATGCTTACAGAACCCCTGAAACGTTCCTGCCAAAATACGGTGGCACCAATGTGTCTCTGGCACATGAGGAGCAGACTCGGGGAAACGGAGGGAGGTTGATGGGCTCCTGTTCTCCCAGTGGGGGGTTGTGTGCTTCACACCATAATCTTCCCTCACCATCCCAGCATCACTGATATCCCTGACCCAGGATTCCCATTGGGCCCACATTGGCCAGCCGTGACTTGCTCCCCCCAGCCCATATGCAACAGGAAGGCTGATCCGCACAGCAGGAATGCTGGTCCGACAGCTGTCCTGAGAAGCCTGTGGCCAAGCTCCACAGTTGTCCCTCAGGCAGGCAGGGCAGGATCCCCCCCAGTCTCCTGGCCCCTAAATGCAAGGCTGTTGTGGGGGAGGGCCCAGGAATCAAAGCAGACTCCAGACTGGATTCATCGCCTTCGTTTGCATACGATGAGGCTGCTTTCCTGCGGCCTCTGGATGGAGACAGCTCTCCAACTCTCCCCTAGGATGGGGGGCAGAATGGAGGCTTGAGATAAGCCCCTTCCTCTCCCTGGTTAGTGTCTGTGTCCCAGCTCCTGGGGCCTCCTGGTCCCTGACAGCACTCAAGGACAAAGATGCCTCTTACCACGAGGATGAGCAGCTGCGTGGGGGAGGCAGGTGGCCCCAGGGCAATGGGGACAAGAACCATGTCCCGTGTGTGCTGGGTGCCAGGAGAACCCCAGGCTTGGGATGGGCTTTGCCACTTCCCAGTTGTGCCATCTTGGATTCGTGGCTTACATCCCCGCACCAATCCCTAGAGCCTGGGTTTCGTCACTTTAAAAATATGGAAAAGTCTCCCTGATGTACAGGGCAGTCGAGAGGATAAATGAGATGTGGATGAAAGAAAGAAACGGGGAAGGGCCTGGGCTTCCCAGCTGCTCCGGGGCAGCAGCTCCTACAATTGTGATTGCTTTTGCTTTAATTTTTTTGTTTTTAATGATTCACTAACAGACCTCAGTAGTGAAAGGGGCCGTCTCTGGGTTGTGGATGTTCCTGCCGTCCCTCAGCAGCTCTGCCCAGGGCGACCCCGGGCTGCTGACTGTGTCCGGCTGCGGCTGCAGGGAGCAAACCCGGGCGGGCAGCGCAGGCTTTGTGAGCAACCCGGCCGGCCGGGGGCAGAACCACGGGCTGTGGGGAGACAGAGGGGGGCTGCCTCCTCCTTCCGCCTGGTTGCCTGGTGCTTTGTGACACAGCCTCCAACTGGCTTCCCGAGTGACAGAAATGGATGGGAGCCCTTGGTCGCTCTGGATCCTTGGCACAACTTCTGTAGCCGCCCATGTTTCCTGAGGGGCTCCCTGCCAGGCTGGCACCTCCACTGCTGGGCTGTGCCAAGAGCTGTGTACAAATCCTTGGGTTGGAGAGAGGGGCCTGCGCAGGCTTCCCCCAGCCCCTCCTCCATCTCACACACACTATTGCACATACTCCACACACATGCTCACAAACACGCTTGTGCACACACATATGCTCACAACACACATTCTCACACACAGTCCACAAGCTCACACACACATGTTCACACGTACTCCCATGCCCACTCAGTCACGCTCACACATGCTCACAACACACACTCGCACACAATAGTTCACACACACAAACACACCCGCACACATATTCTCGATCACACATGCTCACAACACCCACACATAAGCTCACACACACACACACACCCTCACACTAGCACACATGCTCACACACCCACACATAAGCTCACAACACATACACACAGTCACATATGCTCACTCACACGTTCACACACCTGCACACTCATGCTCACACATGCTCACAACACACACACATGCTCACACCCACACACACATGCTAACACTCCCTCACATACACTTACAACACACACGTACATACCTACATCTATTCACACTCACACATGATCACAACACACCCACACACGTTCACACATGCACTCACACACACATGCCAGATGCTCACAACACACTCATACATCCTGGAGATTTATTTATGATCGGCTGAGATATAAATTCTCTCTTTTTTTTTTTTTTTTTGAGTCTATTGCCCAGGCTGGAGTACAGTGGCACAATCTTGGCTTGCTGCAACTTCCACCTCCAGATTCAAGCAATTCTCCTGCCTCAGCCTCCCCAGTAGCTGGGATTACAGGCGCACGCCATTATGCCCATCTAATTTTTTTATTTTTAGTAGAGATGGGGTTTCACCATGTTGGCCAGGCTGGCCTCAAATTCCTGACCTCAGGTTATCCGCCCGCCTCGGCCTCCCAAAGTGCTGGGATTACAGGCTTGAGCCACCGCGCCCGGCCGACAGGGCTTTCAAGTGGGCCCTTCCCCCCACCTCAGGAATGGCAGGGGAGAGGGGAGGCGGGCACAGGCCCAGCTTCCTGAGCTCCGGCTTCAGGGGCACTTGTTAGGGAAGGGCTGGAGGCAAGGCAGGGGGGCAGAGACTTGCGTTGCTGGTGAGGTGACTAGGACAGTAGCAGGGACTGAAGCGAAGGGGCTGTGGCCTTAGGAATGGATGCAGGTGTGACGAAGGACAGGGTTGTCACAACAAGCCTGTCCCAGGGTCCCACGGTCCCATGCACTTCACCAAGCCTCACCCGGGATCTTCAGGCGGATCCCAGGATAGGGGACAAGATGGAGAGTGATGGTCAACTCCTTGTCTCCGCCCATGGCTCTAGGAAGAGCCGAGCTGTGGGCAGCGGAGGCCGGGGCCCAGGCTCCCAGGGGACCAGGACATGCCAGGCCTGGATGGAGGCAGAGCTGGGTGAAGCCACCACAGATGCTGAGAGGCTGGAGGAGGTGTTTCCTCCCTCCCCTCTCCTCGGGTGAGCCTGCTCAGAGCTTCCAGGGCACAGCAGTTTCGCTGCCCTACTACCCTCTCTTGGGGTGGGCTAAGGTGACACAGGGGTGGGCCCGCCAGCATGGGGGCCGCAGGGAGAGGCGCCGGGAAGCAGGGAAATGTCCCAGGCCCATGAACCTTTCCTCAGCCCTAGGCAATTATACGACCACAAATCACAAAGAAAAGATGGTGTAAGCACCCTTGCCAGCCTAGTGGAATACGTGAGAGGCCATAAAAATTCAATTAGCCCGGCTAAGCCGGTGCCCAGGTCCAGGGTGGGTGAGGCTGGTGCAGTGGAGGGGGGTTCATGGGGGAGCCGCTTCGGGTGGCATACAGGGGCCAGGGGTGTCCAGAGTCCAAAAGACACCCCCACTGTCCCCGAAGCTACAGCTTCTCCCTTCAGTGTGAGGGAGGACACTGGGTCCCCTGAGGGGGCTGTCCTGAGGGCAGGTGGGGTTGGCTCATGCCACCCTTCAGGGATCGGAGCCAAGTCTGCAAAGCTGTCCCCAAAGTCTCTCAGCCCAAAGAAGGGACAGTGTCAGAACATTCTGGGGCCTCAGAGCTCATCGTGGGAGAAGAAAAAGGCTGAGTGAGGTCATCCTGGGACAGCCACGGGGGTCCAGGGCTCAGGACAGAAACGACACAGTGCTACTTACTAGGTGTGACTTGACTCTCAGAGCCTTCATTACCACTTCAGAAAAATGGGGAAAATAACAGGAGCCATTTCAGAGAGCTGTTGAAAAGGCGAGGTGACATGAATCCACACAAAGCACTTAAGGGGAGTTCTGCCTACAGCCTGTGCTCACGGGCTTTGACTCCATTTGTGTGGAATTAGGCACTGAGTCAAGTCTCAGGGGCTAGAGGCAGATTTCTGGGCTCTGAGGGACTCAGTTCCCTTCTAGGGAACTTGGCAAGGGGCAGAGGTTTGTACAGAGAAAGGAATTCTAGACTAATCTGGAATGTCGATGACACGATTGAAGCTGGGGGCTCTCAGCCTCGGCCCTGTTGTCTTTCTGGCTCGATGATTCTTGGTTTGGGGGCCGTCCTGCACACTGTCGGGCATCTAGCAGCACCCCCCGCCTCGAGCCTCTACATGCCAGTAGCACGTCCAGCTGTTGTTGTTGTTGTTGTTTTTGAGACGAAGTCTAACTCTGTCACCCAGGCTGGAGTGCAGTGGTGTGATCTTGGCTCACTGCAACCTCCACCTCCCAGGTTCAAGCGATTCTCCTGGCTCAGCCTCCTGAGTAGCTGGGATTACAGGCACCCACCACCATATCCGGCTAATTTTTTATATTTTTAGTAGAGACGAGATTTCACCATGTTAGCCAGGATGGTCTTGATCTCCTAACCTTATGAACCGCCCACCTCAGCCTCCCAAAGTGCTGGGATTACAGACGTGAGCCACCCCCGCAACTGCACTCCCCAGTTTTGACAACTAAAATATGTCTCCAGGCGTTGCCACATGTCCCCGGGGGGGCAAAATCCCCTTCAGTGGCTGTGGAGATAAACTGAGCTTTAATTTGAGTGAGGGGACAAAGAGGGGCTGAGTGTTTATGGTGCTGCTTTTCTTGCAGGGAGGAGCCAATGGCTGGGTCTGCCATCCACACCGCCCCCATGCTGTTCCTTGCCCTCCTGCTGCCCCTGGAGCTGAGCCTGGCAGGCGCCCTTGCACCTGGGACCCCTGCTCGGAACCTCCCTGAGAATCACATCGACCTCCCAGGCCCAGCACTATGGACGCCTCAGACCAGCCACCACCGCCGGCGGGGCCAGGGCAAGAAGGAGTGGGGCCCAAGCCTACCCAGCCAGGCCCAGGATGAGGCTGTGGTCACCGCCACCAAGCAGGCCTCCAGGCTGCCAGAGGCTGAGGTGCCGCTGCCTGAGCAGAGTCCTGCAGGCCTCTTGCGGGACAAGGACCTGCTCCTGGGGCTGGCATTGCCTTACCCCGAGAAGGAGAACCGACCTCCAGGTTGGGAGAGGGCCAGGAAACGCAGCAGGGAGCACAGGCGGCACAGGGACAGGCTGAGGCTGCACCGAGGTAGCTGGAGAGCTGGGAGGGGTGGGGATGGGGGGGCTTCCTGCCGTGGACTAAGGGGAGCGGGAAAGGATGCAGGGAAGGGCCAGAGGTGTGAGGTCTCTGGGAGGACATTCAGAGGAGAGAAGAGGTGTCCCTGAAGCCAGAGGGACCTGGTAAGGGGAGGAGGCTGGGAGAAGCCTGGGGTTGGAGCATGGGAAGGCGAGGAGGATGTGTTGCAATAGAATCTATCTTATCAGCAGATCATCCTCCTGAATCAGGATGTTCTACTTTGTATCTGACCTAAATTTCTCCTGCTTTAAGTTCTGAGTAGAGATGGAACAGTTCCATGCCCTCCAAGCGTATTCCTTACTCAACTCTGAAGCATCGGGTAGGGGTAAGAGCCTAGACCCTGAAGCCAGGTCTGCCTGAGATCATGTCCTGTCTCCACCACTTACTCGGGTGTGGGCCTGGGCAAGTTATCTGTCTGTTCCTCAGTTTCCCCTCTGAAAAGTGAGGACACTGGTCCCGTCTACCTTCAGTGTAGTTGCAGAGACTTGATTAGTGGGATGCTTGGAGCTCAGCTGGCAGGGCCGTGAGCAGTTGTTGTTCTGTTTTTGTTTTTTGTTTTTTTTTTTTTTTGAGACGGAGTTTCACTCTTGTCACCCAGGCTGGAGTGCAGTGGTGCAGTCTGGGCTCACTGCAAACTCCACCTCCTGGGTTCAAGCGATTCTCCTGCCTCAGCCTATCGAGTAGCTGGGATTATAGGCATGCACCACCACGCCTGGCTAATTTTGTATTTTTAGTAGGATGGGGTTTCTCCATGTTGGTCAGGCTGGTCTTGATCTCCAGACCTCAAGCGATCTGCCCACCTCAGCCTCCCAAAGTGCTGGGATTACAGGCGTGAGCCACTGCGCCCGGCCTGTTGTTCTGGTTCATCCCAGCTCCCTCCTGATGCCAAATCAGTGGCCTCCAACCCGGACGCAGGTGACTCCAGAAGGGGCGTCACTTGCCTACCCCTCCTGCCTCTGCCTCGTTCATCTGGGTGTCCCCCAGCCCTTCCCACCTTCCTTAACATTTACCCCACATCCCCTGGGAGTGAGCCTGCCCCCTGCTGGCCCAGGCTCCCCACTCCCGGTACCCATTAGCTCTACGCAAGTGGCTCCTCCCAGCCTTGCCTGGCCCTAAGCCAAGGAACTGGGCTTCCAAGCTCTCTATGTGACAAGACTGCCTCTAGGGGCATGCCGAGTGCCACAAACGCAATGGCAGAGTTCTTTGGCAGGAAGGCAACGGAGCCTCAATGCCCCTTCTTGTGCAAACGACTGGGGCTGGCTTCCCTGCAAGGCCTACTGAGAACCCCCCAGGTGAGCTGAGGTCAGTCGTGGTCCCCAGCCTCGACTTTCAGCCTCCCACTCCTGGGGTCACCTGTGTGAGCTTTCAGGGGAGGACACTGGCACCCTTGAGAATGGCTGGAGGGCACACAGGGGGTTCCTGCTCCCCCAGCTCCAGGGCCTCCTGGGAGATTTGATAGGGTGAGGAGGCAGGAACAGAGAAGGTCTGCGGGCTAGGCCCTGGTCTGCTGACAACTGGCTGTGACCCCTCAGGCCAGGCCAGGCATGGTGGCTCATGCCTGTAATCCCAGCACTTCGGGAGGCTGAGGCAGGCAGGTCACTTGAGGCCAGGAGTTCTAGGCTAGCCTGGGCAACATGGAGAAACCCCATCTCTACCAAAAATACAAAAATTAGCCAGGTATGGTGGCACATGCCTGTAATCCCGGCTACTCAGGAGGCTGAGGTGGGAGAATCACTTGAACCCTGGAGGCAGAGGTTGCAGTGAGCTGAGATCACGTCACTGGACTCCAGCCTGGGGACAGAGCGAGTCATGGACTTGGACTTGCTGGAATGTTGCTTTACAGGGAGAATCCCTGGGCTGTCTCCCCAGTGACACCGTAAGTTCTTCCAAGACATTTTCCTCCGAGTTCCCCATCTCCCCGTCCTGAGAAGAGTAGGAAGCAGGGGTGGGGCCCAAACAAGGCCTTGTCACATGGTCCCTGCTGCCTCCGGGTTTGCAGCATAAAACGTGGGTTCTACTATAGGCTGCCACGAGGCAGCAAGCAGATGCAGCCCCTGTGCTCCCCGCCCTGTGTCTCAGGCCGAGCGTTGGTTCGAGGTCCCAGCTCCCTGATGAAGAAGGCAGAGCTCTCCGAAGCCCAGGCGCTGGACGCGGCCATGGAGGAATCCTCCACCAGCCTGGCCCCCACCATGTTCTTCCTCACCACCTTTGAGGCAGCACCTGCCACAGAAGAGTCCCTGGTCCTGCCCATCACCTCCCTGCGGCCCCAGGTAAGGGGTCCCCAAACAGCCTCGGAGCCGGAAGGGTTCCTGAGCCCATGTCATGGAAAGCCCTCTTAGTGCACATAGGGAGACCGAGGCATGGGAGCAAGAGGCCACGGAACTTAGATTGAAACCAGATCTCATGCTGCCCATCCAGTCTAGCTCCAGCCCTGGCGGGTGCTCCATCCTGACAAGAGGCTGACATTGTCCAGGGCAAAGTGGTCCCGGGGGCCACTCTAGGGACAGCCAAGGAGACAAGTGGCAGTTCTGCACGCTGGTGTCTGCGTGGAGAGCAGCGAGGCCTGGGGAGGAGCTTTCTGCATACAGAGGAGCATGAAGCATAATAATGGTGATTTTTAATTTTTTTGTGGGGGGCGGACGGAGTCTCAATCTGTCGCCTGGGCTGGAGTGCAGCGGCGTGATCTTGGCTCGCATCAACTTCTGCCTCCCAGGTTCAAGCAATTCTCCTGCCTCAGCCTCCCAAGTAGCTGGGACTATAGGCGCGTGCCATCACACCTGGCTAAGTTTTGTATTTTTAGCAGAGATGGGATTTCATTATGTTGGTCAGTTGACCTCAATCTCCTGACCTCGTGATCTGCCCACTTTGGCCTCCCAAAGTGCTGGTATTACAGGCGTGAGCCACTGTGCCCAGCCAATAGTGATGATTTTTAAAACCATGTCCTTGGCCGGGTGCGGTGGCTCAAGCCTGTAATCCCAGCACTTTGGGAGGCCAAGGCAGGTGGATCACGAGATCAAGAGATCGAGACCATCCTGGTCAACATGGTGAAACCCCGTCTCTACTAAAAAAAAAAAAAAAATATATATATATATATATAAAATCAGCTGGGCATGGTGGCGCGTGCCTGTAATCCCAGCTACTCAGGAGGCTGAGGCAGGAGAATTGCCTGAACCCAGGAGGCGGAGGTTGCGGTGAGCCGAGATCGCGCCATTGCACTCCAGCCTGGGAAACAAGAGCGAAACTCCGTCTCAAAAAAAAAAAAAAAAAAAAAAAAACATGTCCTCAAGACCCAGATTTAATAAGCATTAGCTACCACTGGGACCCATCTGCATCAGATCTTTAACAAAGACACGTGGGCCGGGTGTGAGCCTGTAATTCCAACACTGTTGAAGGCCAAGGCGGAGGGTCACTTGAGCCCAGGAATTCGAGATTATCCTGGGCAACATAGTGAGACCCCGTGTCTACAAAACTTTTTAAAAATTAGCCAGGCATAAGGGTGTATGCCTGTGGTCCCAGCTACTGGGGAGGCTGAGGTGAGAGGATCGCTTGAGCCCAGGAGGTCAGGGCTGCAGTGAACCATGATCGCACCACTGCACTCCAGCCTGGGTGACAGAGTAAGACGCTGTCTCAAGGGAAAAAAATATGTGGAGAGAAAGTAAGCGAGGAAATGTGGCAAAAACACTCCCCACCGGTGACTCTGGAAGGGGGTTACAGGAGCTTACTGCATCGTTCTTGCGCCTCTTCTGTGGCTTTGAAAGGTTTTCCAAATACAATTATTTAAAAGGATCAATAATATATAAGAATACATAAAAAAGAAATAGGCCAGATGCAGTGGGTGGCTCACGCCTATAATCCCAGCACTTTGGGAGGCCGAGGCGGGCAGATCACCTGCGGTCAGGAGTGTGAGACCAGCCTGGTCAACATGGTGAAACCCCGTCTCTACAAAAGTACAAAATAAATAAAACTTTTTTTAGCAGCAGATCTTTCTTTTTTTGAGACGGAGTTTCGCTCTTGTTACCCAGGCTGGAGTGCAATGGCGCGATCTCGGCTCACCGCAACCTCCGCCTCCTGGGTTCAGTCAATTCTCCTGCCTCAGCCTCCTGAGTAGCTGGGATTACAGGCACGCGCCACCATGCCCAGCTAATTTTTTGTATTTTTAGTACAGACGGGGTTTCACCATGTTGACCAGGATGGTCTCGATCTCTTGACCTCGTGATCCACCCGCCTTGGCCTCCCAAAGTGCTGGGATTACAGGCTTGAGCCACCGCGCTCGGCAGCAGCAGATCTTTCTTATCCTTTTTTGGGGTCTTGCACTCCCTTGAGATTGTGAGAAAGCTGCAGACAGTTTCCCACGAATACATGGTTATCCATCTCGTCGTTCAAGCCCCCCTGCAGAACAGCCTAGAAGGTGCAGCTCCTGCCCATGACCTCGTGCGCACACGTGCCCGTACATGCCCGTGTATAGATCCAGCCATGACCTCTAGCCTTCTGCATTCCTGGGGCCACTGGCCCAGGCTGTGAGTGGGACTGAGCCCTGGTTGTGGCCTCAATGGTGCCGCGGAGAGCTGGTAACCTCTGCAGGGAGAGGAAGAGATAGGAAGGTCCAGTGAGTGGCTGGGCTACACCCACCTCCCTCTTTGTGGGCTTAAAGACTGTGAGCAAGCAAGACTGCCTTCACTGCCAAACGCGGTGGCTCATGCCTGTAATCCTAGCACTTTGGGAGGCTGAAGCGGGTGGATCACATTGGCAGGAGATCGAGACCATCCTGGCTAACACAGTGGAACCCTGTCTCTCCTAAAAATACAAAAAATTAGCCAGGTGTGGTGGCACACGCCTATAGTCCCAGCTACTCAGGAGACTGAGGCAAGAGAACCACTTGAACCCGGGAGGTGGAGGTTGCAGTGAGCCAAGATTGCACCACTGCACTCCAGCCTGGACAACAGAACAAGACTGTCTCAAAAAAAAAAAAAAAACCAAAACACAATTGCCTTCCCACCCTGTGGGTGGCCTCTGCCCCTCCTCAGAGGGCCTGGTGGGTAATTTGCCTGTGTGTGTCTGCATGAGCTCTCTTGAGTAATGGCTGCATAGGGACATAGGGAGGGAATGACCCTAGTGGCTGTTGGAACAGGAGCCTCAGACAGCCGTCTTTATGTCCTCGGGCTGAGACTCCAGGCTGCCCAGCAGAGGATGAGGTGGCCTCTGAGAAGTGTCTCCTTTGGCCTCTGGCCTTGGCACCCCACACTCCTGCATCCATGGATTTGAAGGATCCAACACCCGCCTTCTCCACTGCCTCCGGCAGGCACAGCCCAGGCCTGACGGGGAGGTGATGCCCACGCTGGACATGGCCTTGTTCGACTGGACTGATTATGAAGACTTAAAACCTGATGGCTGGCCCTCTGCAAAGAAGAAAGGTATGCCCACCTGCCCCATCACCTTCCATGCCTGGACGCCCTCCAGCACCATCTGCTGAGGTGGGGGCCCCAGTGAGCCCTGTTTCATCTTCAGATGTCCAAAGCTGGGACTCGGGGAGAGGGAGAGCACGGAGTCCAACGTGGAAACGCTGCTTGGAATGTAGAATGCTGTCACGTGCTTATCATGTGCCACACACTTCCTTGTTTCCACTCACGTTACCCTGGGGGAAAATACCTGTTAGGTCTATAGTACTGTGGAGCCCATTTTAGAGGAGAGAAAACTGAGGCAGAGAGAGAGGGGTATAGTGCCTTATCCAAGCCACACGGTAGGGCGGTGGTATGGGCACTCCAACACCTGAGTCCCTGTGCTCAACCTCTGCTCTATTGGGCCCTAGCTTCTGATGACAGATCTTCTTGTCCCCAGAGAAACACCGGGGAAAGCTCTCCAGTGACGGTAACGAAACATCACCAGCTGAAGGGGATCCGTGCGACCATCACCAAGACTGCCTGCCAGGTACCAGCCAGCACCCACATTCAAGGCACCAGGCTGGGTGCTGGGAGGAAACCTGGGTGGGAGTAGGGGTTCCCATGTGTGCAGAACCTGAGGATCCTTGACCCTTCATGGATGATTAATAATAACAACAGCTGCCACTTTCCTGAGAGTTACCATCGGACATTAATTCATTTAATACATTACTCACAGCCAGGCACGGTGGCTCATGCCTGTAATCTCAGCACTTTGGGAGGCCGAGTTGGGTGAATCACCTGAGGTCAGGTGTTCGAGACCAGCCCGGCCAACATGGCGAAACCCCATCTCTACTAAAAATACAAAAATTAGCTGGGCATGGTGGCATGTGCCTGTAGTCCCAGCTACTCGGGAGGCTGAGGCAGGAGAATTGCTTGAATCCAGGAGGCGGAAGTTGTGGTGAGCTAAGATCGCACCATTGCACTCCAGCCTGGGTAACAACAGCGAAACTCCAACTAAAAAAAAAAAAATTAGCTGGGCATGGTGGCTCATGCCTGTAATCCCAGCTACTCCGGAGGCTGAGACAGGAGATTCAATCACTTGAACCTGGGAGGCGGAGGTTGCAGTGAGCTAGGATCACACCACTGCACTCCAACCTGGGCAACAAGAGAGAAACTCAGTCTCAAAAACATAAACAACAATACGTTACTCACAACAACCCAGTTTTCAAGCCAGGTGATGGAGCCCCAGAGGGGCAGTCTTGCCCAGGGTCACACAGTTAAGAAGTGGCTCCAACCTGGGTCAGCCTGGCTGGAAAGCCTGTCCACCACAGCCCCACACTGCCTCGAATCGGATGATCCTCTCGCCCTCTTCCTCCTGACACCAGGCAGAGTTTAATGCCTTGTCCCCTCACTGCACTGCCGGGTGTTCTGAGGATGCTTTGGTGACATCCTCACTGTTCAGCAGCTGTCCCCATGGAGACAGTCTAAAAACAAGAAGTCGGACATTGGAACTAATGCCCTAAACCCTTAGTCCTTGAGGGTCCGTCAGGTCCTCCAGGAAGCAGATACTGAAGTAAGTCAGAAGTGTGAGGCTGGGCGTAGTGTCAAATGCCTGTAATCCCAGCACTATGGGAGGCCGAGGCGGGAGGATCACTTGAGCACAGGAGTTCAAGACTAGCCCGGCCAACACGGGAAGACTCCGTCTCTGCAAATAATAATAATTTTAAAACTTAGCTGGGCTTGCTGGTGTGTGCCTGTGGTTCCAGCTACTCGGGAGGCTGAGGCAGGAGGATCACTTGAGCCTGGGCGGTCAAGTCTACAGTGAGATGTGATCGTCCCACTGCCCTCCAGCTTGGGTGATAGAACAAGACCCTGTCTCAACAAAACAAAACAAAAAGTGCTGAAGATTTATTTTGGGGTGGGCTGGGGGTGGAAAACACTTTCGAATGAGGAAAGTGGGAAGAGGCTGGATCGGACGGAGGATGCTTCAGACATCATGCAAGGTCTTGGGGGTGTGATGGGCGCTCCAGCCCAGTAGTGGCCTGTTAGATAAGGTCCATCCTGAGCAGAAACGGCCGGGGCCCCAGAAACCCCGTGCCAGTCATTGGCAGGGGCTGTGGGGAACAGCCTGCTGTGGGCCAAGGTGGCCTTGAAGCTGCTACCAGCTGGAGGCCACCAGCAAGCGCTTTCCCCGGGAGAGATCCGAGTGGCACACCTCCATGGCACCACGACTGTTAGATAGATGACCAGAATATTCCACAAAACAGTAACCAAACCAGCAGTTAGCATCGTAGAAGGCAGACCACCGGCTCCCTGACAGGCTGCTTCATTCCCAAACTATTGTTTTCACCCTGGGCTCAAAGAAAAGGCCCGCGTTTGGGCGGACTGGTCAGTCGCCTGGGAGCTGGCTTCATGGCAGGTGCCCAGGGCTTCAGTTTCCCCATCTGTCAAAAGAAGACGTTGGTGTCGGGGATCCCGAGACCCCTCCCAGCTCTGAGCTGACTCCACACCTGGCAGCCCCCAGCTTTCAGTCCGCTCTGTCACACCACCTTCGCTCTTCCCACGATCAATCAGTTGCCTAGCTGAGGCAGCTGGGGTCTCTGCCGCCAGCCCTTGGGGGGCCTTGGCCATGACATCCGTCTGTGGTTCCACCCAGGCGCCTTGCACACCAGATGGCCCACCCCGCCAGGCACAGCCTGCCACGGAGATGATGGATCTCTTGTCCAGTGGGAACGAGTGCAGGGCTTTGGGGAGGGGCGGCTCGGCTTGGCTGACTGCGTGTGTCTCTGTGTTGGCAGGGACTTGCTGCGACCTGCGGGAGCATCTCTGCACACCCCACAACCGAGGCCTCAACAACAAATGCTTCGACGACTGCATGTGTGTGGAAGGTGGGTCCAGACTCCTTTGCAGGGGGCTCCCCGGGCTCTGAGAAGCACAAAGCCTCCCTTTCTCGACGCTGGCTCTGCACTGAGTTGGGGACAGGCTTTCCCAGCAGAGGGGGGATCGCGGGCCTGCGGTGGGGGAGTAGGTGGGAGAATCCCTCGGGAGCTGAAGACGTGAGCAAGAACAGCTTTATCCGTGCCTTCCCAATCTGTGAACTCATTTAGTCCCAATTCTTGGCATCGTTTCTGAGATTTGCTTTTCTCAACTTTTGAAATACAAGCTGGCGCGATCTCCCACTATCTAGAGGAGGGAGGAGGGAGGAGGGAGGAGGGAGGAGGGAGGAGCACATCTCTTTAAATTAGATCCAGCTTCAGAAGGCCGCCGCTTTCACACCCAAATTCTATCCCAGGGGAGGCATTCCAAGTGTGATAACGGGTGGGGTGGGTTTCCCAGCATGACCCTGGGAAGGATGCACTTGACCAGCTGCCTCTTTAACTCCTCCGTGCCCCCACCTCGCCTAGGTGTGCTGGCTCTGTGCTGAGCACTTTTTTACTGAAATCCCCATGGTCACCCCTAGAAAGGGGCTATGATGATCCCCACGACACAAATAAGCAAACTGGGGCACAGAAAGCTTCATGATGCTCAAACTGACACAGCCAGGAAAGTGGGGGGAATAGTTTCAGGTGTTGTTTGTTTGAGACAGGGTTTTACTCTGACACCCAGGCTGGAGTGCAGGGGTGCAGTTTTGGCTCACTGCAACCTCTGCCTCCCAGGCTTAGGTGGTCTTCCCATCTCAGCCCCTCCAGTAGCTCAGATTACAGGCCTGCGCCACCAGGCCAGCTAATTTTCGTATTTTTGGTAGAGGTGGGGTTCGCCATGTTGCCCAGGCTGGTCTCAAACTCCTGACCTCAAGTGATCTACCTGCCTTGGCCTCCCAAAGTTCTGGGACTACAGGCATGAGCCACCACACCGGGCCAGTTTAAATTTTGTATTCTGCAAAGTTTCCAATATATACTGAAGTAGTCAGAATAGTCTAATGAACGCCCATTGCTCATCACTCTGCTTCGGCAGATACTAACTCGTGATCAGTCTGTCACCTCTTACCCACTTTCCTTGTTCTGACATGATTTGTAAGCAACTCCTGAGAGCTTACATTCTCTTCATCTGTGAATTTTTTTTTTTTTTTTTTTTTTTTTTTTTTTTTTTTTTTTTTTTTTTTGACACGGAGTTTCGCTCTTGTTACCCAGGCTGGAGTGCAATGGCATGATCTCGGCTCACCGCAACCTCCACCTCCTGGGCTCAGGCAATTCTCCTGCCTCAGCCTCCTGAGTAGCTGGGATTACAGGCACGTGCCACCATGCCCAGCTAATTTTTTGCACTTTTAGTAGAGACGGGGTTTCACCATGTTGACCAGGATGGTCTCAATCTCTCAACCTCGTGATCCACCCGCCTCGGCCTCCCAAAGTGCTGGGATTACAGGCTTGAGCCACCGCGCCCGGCGCTCATCTGCGAATATTTTAATGTGTATATCTGAAAGACAAATGCTCTTGACTGGGCATGGTGGCTCACGCCTGTAATCCCAGCACTTGGGGAGGCCAAGGTGGGTGGATCACAGGATCAGGAGATCGAGACCGGCTAACATGGTGAAACCCTATCTCTACTAAACATACAAAAAAAAAAAAATTAGCCAGGTGTGGTGGCACTCGCCTGTAGTCCCAGCTGCTCCAGAGGCAGAGGCAGGAGAATCGCTTGAACCCGGGAGGCAGAGGTTGTGGTGAGCCAAGATAGCACCACTGCACTCCAGCGTGGGCGACAGAGCGAGACTCTGTTTCAAAAAAAAAAAAAAAAAAAAAAGATAATAATATGCTAATGAGTCCTGCAGTTGTTTTAGAAAGTGTAGACAGAAGTGGGCACTGGAGGCCAGACGGGTTGGTTCATACCTTTAATTCCAGGACTTTGGGAGGCCGAGGTGGGTGGATCACCTGAGGCTGGGAGTTGGAGATCAACCTGACCAACATGGAAAAGCCCCATCTCTACTAAAAATACAAAAAAAAAAAAAAAAAAAAAAAATAGCTGAGTGTGGTGGCGCACACCTGTGGTACCTGCTACTTGGGAGGCTGAAGCAGGGAGGATCACGTGAGCCCAGGAGGCAGAAGTTGCAGTGAGCTGAGATCTTACCACTCACTCCAGTCCCGGAGACAGAGCAAGACCTTGTCTGAAAAAAAGAAAAAAGAAATGGAGGGCAGGTGCAGTGGCTCACAGCTGTAATCCCATCACTTTGGGAGGCTGAGGCAGACAGATCATTTGAGGCCAGGATTTCATGACCAGCCTCCCCAACATGGTGAAACCCCATCTCTACTAAAAAAGTACAAAATTAGCTGGGTGTGGTGGTGTATGCTTGTAATCCCATCTTCTTGGGAAGCTGAGGCAGGAGAATCACTTGAACCCAGGAGGCAGAGGTTGCAGTGACCCAGGATGGTGCCACTGCACTCCAGCCTAGGTGACAAGAGTGAAACTCCGTTTCAAAAAATTAAAATTAAAAAAAAAAAAGCAGTGGAGAGCCATGAAGGTTTTGCAGGGAAGAGCAGAATTTAAGCCACTTAAAAAGATTACTAAACTTTTTCCTTTTCAATTTTACAAAATTATAGACTTTTTAATTGAATTTATGTGTGTATTTTATTTTTTAACTTTTCTGAGGCAGCATCTCACTGTGTTGCCCAGGCTGAAATACAGTGGCACAATCAAGGCTCACTGCAGCCTCAAACTCCTGGACTCAAGGGATCCTCTGACGTTAGCCTCTTCTGTAGTTGGGACTACAGGCGTGTGCCACAATGCTTGGCTAATTTTTACATTTTCTGTAGATATGGAGTCTCCCTATGTTAGCTGAGGCTGGTCTGGAACTCCTGGGCTCAAGCAATCCTCCCACCGCAGTCTTTCAAAATGCCGGGATTACCGGTGTGAGCCATCACACCCTGTGGACTTTATTTTTTGAGCAGTTTTCTAGAAAAATTGCACAGACTATGGCGTTCTCATATACCTTCTTTGCCCCTTGCACACAGTTTCCCCTATTAATAACATCTTGAAGCTGGGCGCAGTGGCTCACACCTGTAATCCCAGCACTTTGGGAGGCCGAGGCGGGTAGATCAGCTGAGGTCAGGAGTTCAAGACCATCCTGGCCAACGTGGTGAAACCCCATCTCTACTAAAAATTCAAAAAATTAGCCAGGCCTGGTGGTGGGTGCCTGTAATCCCAGCTTCTTGGGAGGCTGAGGCAGGAGAATTGCTTGAACCCAGGAGGTGGAGGTTGCAGTGAGCTCAGATTGCACCATTGCACTCCAGCCTGGGCGACAGAGTAAGGCTCCGTCTCAAAAAAAAAAAAAAAAAAGAAAAGAAAAGAAAAAGAAAAATCTTGCCGTCCTGTGGTACATTTGTTTTGTTTTGTTTTTGAGACAAAGTCTTACACTGTTGCCCAGGCTGGAGTGCAGTGGTGCCACCTCAGCTCACTGCAATCTCCGCCTCCCGGGTTCAAGTGATTCTCCTGCCTCAGCCTCCCGAGTAGCTGGGATTACAGGTGCCTACCACCACGCCTGGCTAGTTTTTGTACTTTTTTAGTAGAGACAGTGTTTCACCATGTTGGCCAGGCTGGTCTCAAACTCCTGACCTCAAGTGATCTGCCCATCTCCACCTTCCAAAGTGCTGGGATTACAGACGTGAGCCACCGCACCTGGCCTCCTGTGGTACATGTGTTGCTTGACAAACCAATAGTGATAGATTATTATTACTAACTGAAGTCATCGTGTAGGTTAGGGTTCACTGCAGTGCATTCTATGGGTTTTGACAAATGCATGCCATGTCCCATCATTACATGTGACACAGAATATTTTCGCTGCCCTGAGTCCTCTCCATGCTCCTTCCGTGTTCATTCCTCCCGTCCCAGAGGAATGAGTCTTTTAAGCTCAATGGGGCTGCCATGAGGAGGCTGGGTGGGTTGCAGGACACAATAAAAAAGCCAGGAGAGGCTGGGTGTGATGGCTCACGCCTGTAATCCCAACACTTTGGGAGGCCAAGGCGGGAGGATCACAAGGTCAGGAGTTCAAGATCAGCCTGGCCAACATGGTGAAACCCCCTCTCTACTAAAAACACACACACAAAAAGTAGCCTGGCATGGTGGCACATGCCTGTAAATCCCAGCTACTCAGGAGGCTGAGGCAGGAGTATTGCTTGAACCCAGGAGGTAGAGGTCGCAGTGAGCTGAAATCTTGCCACTGCACTCCAGTCTGGGCGACAGAGTGAGACTTCGTCTAGAAAGAAAGAAAAAAAAAAAGAAGGCGGGAGAGAGCTGGCGGGCCCCAGAGCATGCAGGGGAAGAAATGGGAGGACTCCAGCCCTCTGCGCCTCTGACCTCCTTGCCTCCCTTCTCCCAGGGCTGCGCTGCTATGCCAAATTCCACCGGAACCGCAGGGTTACACGGAGGAAAGGGCGCTGCGTGGAGCCCGAGACGGCCAACGGCGACCGGGGATCCTTCATCAACGTCTAGCACCCCGCGGGACTGGGGACTGAGCCCAGGAAGTTTGCACAAGCTGGGCGATTTGTTTATAACTAGCAATGGGAGATCAAGTAGGGGAACGGATGGCTGAGGCTGCAGGCTCAGGCCCAGGACACTCAACCCCAGGAGCGGAGCCGCTCCGCGAACGACCTGGATGGACGCCCAGCAGCCGGCCCGCAGCACCTGCACACCCACAGTCTGGACCCACGCAGCCTCCATCCCGGGTGTCCTGTTCTCCGTGATGGCAATGCCGAGAGTGCCCTCTACTGTCCGATTCCAGCACTGCAACAGCTTCAGGTTCAAAACCCAAGAGGCGTTTTTGAGAGTGGAAAAGAAATTTAAACTCCCCGAAAGTAGGTCCACTGGCAGGAGAGGAATATGGAACACCTCCTATGTACTGTGTAATCCAGGGCTTAGCACAGTGCTAAGCCCCGGATTACTTTATCTCATTGAAGTATCACAACGACATTTTTAAGCAGGTATTATCACCATGCCACAGGTGAGGACCCTGAGGCACGCTGGAGTTGTTTGACTTGACTTGTCCAGACTCCCAGGTCAATGCTTCTCAAACCTGAACATGCTAAGAGTAACGTGGTGGCCCAGTTAAAAATGTATATCTGGCTGGGCATGGTGGCTCACCCCGTAATCCCAACACTTTGGGAGGTGAGGCGGGTGGATCACCTGAGGTCAGGAGTTCCAGACCAGCCTGGCCAACATGGTAAAGCCCTATCTCTACTAAAAATACAAAAATTAGCCAGGCGTGGTGACATACGCCTTTAATTACAGCTACATGGAGGCTGAGGCACCAGAATCGCTTGAACCTGGGAGGTGGAGGTTGCAGTGAGCAGAGATGGCACCACGGTACTCCAGCTTGGGGAACAAGAGTGAAACTCTGTCTCAAAAAAAACCACACACACGCACATCGACTCACTGGGCTCTGTGCTCTAACAAGCTCCCAAGGCATGCGATGCTGCTGGTCCAGGGATCTCACTGACAGGTCCCGGGAAGTACAAGGAACTGAATCTGGGCCAAGGCTTTCCAGCTCCAAGGCCCACGTTCTTCCCTCTCCACAACCAAGAATTTCTTCCAGATCCACCAAGCCTTTTGGCAAGAGAGGCTCGCACCCTGGTAGTCCCTTCTTCTGTGGCTGGAATGACTTGACAGTTCTCTGCCTTCCCTGGACAAAGGTGTATCATGTTTAAAAACAAAACAAAAACTGGACCTTAAGCACATACTTGCTTGCAGGAATAAGTTGGGCAGATTGATCCCTGTGGTCCGATAGCTGACATCCTGGGATATGAAGTGTTTGGGGAAAAGAATCGTGTTGCACTTTATATCCCTATGGTCCTGCTCATCCAGTCCTGGGATGGGCATGTTAGTTTTCTGGAGAGCTTCCACCCTAGAGGTTCTGATGTAAGCATGGACTCAAAAAAACCCACACATATTGCCCATGTTTACCCACTTTGCATACAGTGTAGTGATTTCCAGGACCACAAAACCACCCCATATTTTTGGAGCAGAGTCCACTGGGAGGTTGAGGCTCCCTGAAAATGAGGTGCTATCTGAAGCTAACTGTCCCTAACAGGCCAGACCCACAGTGCCTACCCAGAACATCTGTCCCAGCAGATCTGGCTTCAGGCCACTTCAGGAGAACCATTTAACCCTCCTCCCCCATACTTGGCATCTCACTTCTGGCCAGCCCTCTGTTCCAGGGCAAACCAGGTTGCAAATAACAAAAGCCTTTCCTGGCCAAATTCCTCACTGGCCTGGATCACGCCCATAAGATGCCAGGGATGTTTACTGCACTGGGAAAATCAGCCAGGGTCGGGGTCAGGCACCAGGGAAAGCAGGCAGATCTAGAAGAAATTAAATACGCTTGTTCTGACTCTGTCCAAGTTTGATGGGCATGGGAATCTTTCGAGGAGGAGCAGAGAGGGCAAGGGAACTGGGAGATCAAAGCAGGCTAGCTGAAAGGCAGATATGGCGGGGCACAATGGCTCATGCTTGTAATCCCAGCACTGTGGGAGGTCCAGGTGGGCGGATCACTTGAGGTCAGGAGTTTGAGAACGGCCTGGCCAACACAGCAAAACCCTGTCTCTACCAAAAATACAAAAATTAATGCCGGGCACGAAGGCTCATGCCTGAAATCCCAGCACTTTGGGAGGCTAAGGTAGGCAGATCACTTGAGATCAGGAGTTCAAGACCAGCCTGGCAAACATGGTAAAACCCCATCTCTGGGGTTGGCAGGTGCCTGTAATCTCAGCTACTCAGGAGGCTGAGGCAGGAGAATCATTTGATCACAGGAGGTGGAGGTTGCAATGAGCTGAGATCGTGCCATTGCACTCCAGCCTGGGTGACAGAGTGAGACACCAAAAAAACAAAAAACTAAAAAATTTTAAAAGGGAGATCTGCCAGTTTCGTAGTCTCACTCTGTCACCCAGGCTGGAGTGCCATGGCGTGATCTCGGCTCACTGCAACCTCCACCTCCTGGGTTCAAGCGATTCTCCTGCCTCAGCCTCCTGAGTAGCTGGGATTACAGGAACCTGCCACCATGCCCAGCTAATTTTTGTGTTTTTAGTAAAGATGGGGTTTCATAGTTTCGTACTTGAGACCAGACAACCCACATGCTGTGTGTGCCTCACATTAAGTGCCTGACTGGAGACTGCTGGTTCTGTGGGGCGAGAACCCTAAGGAGTACTGTGGGAAGAAAACCCAGCATTGCTATGTCTTAGGGACGGCTGTTAGATGGTCCTAGGACATCATCCATGGAGATGCACGTGCCTTGATTTTTTCATCTGTAACTGTCACTGCCGGCCAGGGCCGTTCCATGGTTGGAAATTCAAGGCCGATCTCTTTGCCCTAGTTGTCTCTATTTGGCATTTCCAGAGAGGGATGGGGTGGGTGGAATCCTCTCAACTCCAGAGCTGGGAATCCCAAAGCCCTCTCAAGTGTTTAACCAACCTCTCTGCCAGGAAGTTCTTCCTTAGGTCTATCTTAAATTTCTGTTGTTTGTACAGAAGCCAATATCCTCTACTCCAGGGTTGAGCAAACTTTTACTGTGAAGAGCCAAATAAATATTTTAGGCTTTGCAGGCCGTCTGATCTTCACTACAGCTACTCAGCTCTGCCGTAGCTCGAAGCAGTGACAGACGGTGTGTAAGGAATCCATGGCTGTGCTCCAGGAAAACTCTTATGGACACACTTTTGAATTCCATATAATTTTCGCATGTCACAAAATATTATTCTCTTTTTATTCTTTTTTTTTTCTTTTGGAAGTGGAGTTTCGCTCTGCTGCCCAGGCTAGAGTGCGGTGCCCCTATCTCAGCTCACTGCAACCTCTGCCTCCCGGCTTCAAGCAATTCTCTTGCCTCAGCCTCCTAAGTAGCTGGGATTACAGGTGTGTGCCACCACACCTGGTTAATTTTTGTATTTTTACTAGAGATGCGGTTTTACCATGTTGGCCAGGCTAATCTTGAACTCTTAACCTCAGTGATCCGCCTGCCTTGGCTTCCCAAAGTGCTGGGATTACAGGTGTGAGCCACCATGCCCAGCCACAAAATATTAATATTTTGATTTTCTAAAACCATTTAAAAGTGCCAAGACCACTCTTAGCTTGCCAGCTACACAAAAACAGGCAGTGGGCAGATTTGGCCCGAGGGCCACAGTTTGCTAACCCCTGCTCAAGCCTACTCGCTCTCAACCTTGGCTGCATGTGGCATGTGGGAACATTTAAAGGCCTGGGGCCCACCCCCAAAGCTTCTGTTTTGTTTGGTCTGGCTTCATAGATTTTCCCCCAGGTAACTCCAGGTGCAGGTGGGGCTGAGGACTGCTGCTCTCCCCTTCCATCTGTAGCAGTGCAGCTGGTGATAAATCTGCCTATTCCGCCTCTCACCACCTTGGCAACCTTAGGAAAGTTTCTTAAGGTCTCTGTGCCTTGATTTTTTTCATCTGTAAAATGGAGATAATAACTCTTCCTTCATAGGGGTGTTGTGAGTAGTGAATGCATAATTATTATTATTATTATTATTGAGACAGAGTTTCACTCATGTTGCCCAGGCTGGGGTGCTATGGCACGATCTTGACTCACTGCAACTTCTGCCTCCCAGGTTCAAGCGATTCTCCTGCCTCAACCTTCCAAGTAGCTGAGATTACAGGCAAGCGTGCCACCACATTTGGTTAATTTTTGTATTTTTAGTAGAGACGGGGTTTCATCATGTTGGCCAGGCTGGCCTCGAACTTCTGACCTCAGATGATCCATCTGCTTTAGCCTCCCAAAGTGCTGGGATTATAGGCGTGAGCTACCGTGCCGGACCTGTGAATGCAGAATTCTTTGACGATGACCCATCACATTCCCTGAGGTCATTTCTTTTCTTCCTTTTTTTTTTTTTTTTTTCCCCCCGAGACGGAGTTTAGCTCTAGTTACTCAGGCTGGAGTGCAATGGCGCGATCTCAGCTCACCGCAACCTCCGCCTCCTGGGTTCAGGCAATTCTCCTGCCTCAGCCTCCTGAGTAGCTGGGATTACAGGCACGTGCCACCATGCCGAGCTAATTTTTTTGTATTTTTAGTAGAGACGGGGTTTCACCATGTTGACCAGGATGGTCTCGATCTCTTGACCTTGTGATCTACCCACCTCGGCCTCCCAAAGTGCTGGGATTACAGGCTTGAGACACCGTGCCCAGCCCCTGAGGTCATTTCTTTTTTTTCTTTTTTTTTTTGAGATGGAGTTTCACTCTTGTTACCCAGGCTGGAGTGCAATGGTGTGATCTCGGCTCACCGCAACCTCCGTCTCCTGGGTTTAAGCAATTCTCCTGCCTCAGCCTCCCAAGTAGCTGGGACTACAGGCGTGCGCCATCATGCCCAGCTAATTTTTGTATTTTTTAGTAGAGACGGGGTTTCACTATATTGACCAGGATGGTCTCGATCTCTTGACCTCGTGATCCACCCGTCTCGGCCTCCCAAAGTGCTGAGATTACAGGCGTGAGCCACCGCACCTGGCCCCCTGAGGTCATTTCTAAGTCACCATTCAAGCTGTTTCACCAAAGTCTGTTCCATAGAACACCGGGACCATGAGATGCTGCTTTAGAAAGGGCGGCGCGGTTTCCATCGTCAAAGAGGTTTGGAAAACTGTTCTGGCCTCAGCCCTTAGCAGCATGTGCAGATTCCAGGCACTGAGGCAGGGCTGGAGGAGTAACTGGCTTTGCAATAAAATAGGTGCAGGAAGCTAAAAAGATACCCTGGGCATGGTGGGGAGCTGAGCAGGAGGCCAAGTGGAAAGCAATGGCTGCTGGGCCCGTGGCCTGAGCTCCCCTGCGCTCCTCTGGCTAGAGTCACACTGCTGTTCCCACAGGGCCGCCTTTCCGTGGTTCGTCTGGAGACACCAAGAGTGTTTTCCATCTTGCTGGGAATAGGCTGAGCGTGCAATGACATGAGGGCCAAGTCTTGAGGAAAAATGACAGTTTCACAGCCCCTTGAGGAGTGATCAAGCCACAGAGTAAATCCTAAAGCCACAACCCCTTCTACAAGCAGGCTGCTGCAGGTGGGTCCTTATTTCAAGCCACATTTAACTCACCCAACAAAACCTAACATGGAGGTGGAGGACTCACGGGCCCCTGCAGTGGGGTTCCCTTTGCAGCTGGAGAGACAGCATACGTGAAACCTGTGCGGAACATGTTCATAAAACGACAGAAGAGCCAGGAAAACTGTGCTGGGACAGACAGTGGAGAGGCCAGAGAAGCAAAGCATTGTGGGTCTTCACTGGGGGGTTTCACGGGGTGGGATTGTGCCCTGCCAATTCCGTGGTAAT